GGATTGACTTTTTCAGTCTGTGTAAGTTTCCTGGTGGATTAATAACCAAAGTAACATCCAATTTTAAGAGCAGCATTTGGAAAAATGAGGAATGCTCTAACGAATAGCCTATGTATCACAGTAGTGTTTGTGTTATTGTCTCGTGCTTGGATGAAGCCTTTGTAGCAATTGACCTACAAATCAGTTAAGGCAATGAAAAAAACAGAAAAACAGCCATTTATTTCAGGATCACACATAAAATATTCAGCATCTTTTAATGGATGCGTTCCTATCTTCTGAAAATGTACCCCAACCCCTTCCTGTGTTTCTCCCCTCATATGCTTGATAGCAGGGAGATGTACTATATATCTGTTTCTGGGTCTTTGCGTTCAAAGTAGCTCTGGCTTCTGAATTTAGGAAATGCAGTTAGAAAAAAACAAACATGACTAAAATCAGTCTGACGTGAAAAATGAATACACTAAGCTGAGCACCTGAAGCAGGTCATTGAAAAATGCCCCTTCTGCTGCCACAGTGACATGACCTGTGAGTAATTAACATCCAAATTGATTTCCTCTTCCTTGAGTGCCCCGCTCCACTGTCTGAAGTGCCCACTGCTCTGCACTTCGCCAGCGTCATCACTATTTCAATCCAGAGGAAGCAGGGGACCAGCACGTCCACAGCCCCTCCCCTTTAAAAAAAAAAAACATTTCTTTTGGCCTTCAGGCTTTAGTCTTTCGAGTTTCATTTTAAGAGACATGCAGGAAAGTCTGCAAAAGACCTGTGCACCGCCTTTGTTCACTGTAAGACAATTTCCCAGGTGGCATTCCCGGTTCTGTTTCTCGACATGGATTTGATCTTTCCTGGTTTTGCCCGCTCCGTGTTCCTGCCTTTCGCCCTGGCCCTGATGTCCGTGAAGCCGACACTCCTTCAGTGCCTGTTTCTGTTGGGGCGGGTCATCGTTCGCCGGCCTGTGCGCTGGCTTTCGCTCTCCAGGGGAAGAGTCCCGAAGTGCGCACGCTCCTGCGCTTGCTCCAGACGTTTTTATTCAGGTCTTAAACGTGGACTAGCTCTTGTGAAAGGGGTGACTTGCTTCATGTCTACAGCAAACCATTATGATTCTGTGAGCGTGGCGTTTTGTGCGTAAACTGTCAAGTGTGCACATCTGTGTGGAATTTGAAGAGGCTTAGTTGTGGAAGAAAACAAGCAAAAGTATCTTTTGCTGATTTGGTTAGTTACTGGTATTTCAATTCTGAAATAAAAGTTTGTAACACTTGAGTTCGTTAAACAACTGACCTAGTTATTTTCTTTGCCAGATGTGCACTCAGTTTTTCTGAAGATCTTTTACCGTTAATTACTCAAAACATTTGCTTCTTTAAAGGCCTGTTCTATGACTTACAGTTCTTAAGTGAATTAAATAATTAGACCAGCTATGTAAACCAGACCTTGGATGCAAAAAACAAATCCGAAGACACTGGGCCACATAGGAGTTTGAGAACAGGTGGTGCAGACTTCCTGGGATCAGGGGACAAAGTAATAAAGTCATTTGAACAACAGGAACTTGCCTGAATACACGTTCGTGTCAGGTGTTTCCTCCTAACAGAACATCAGCATTGAAAGGCAAAACCAGTTTGACAGCATTTCTGTCCTCTCATATACAATACATTCAGGTTACATCAAGCATCTGATGTAGAGCACGGCAGTTTGTAACAAAGTTGTTAAATATTTAAGAATAACGCTACACTCAAAGAAATACCTGAAACATATCATAAAGCAGACAAGTAGTGTTGAACTCATAATGTACAATGTTATTTCTTTTCTTGTCTTAGTTTTCGTCACTTACCCTCAGGACAGTTCCAACGGAGCAAATCGTGGGACCAGCTGGTCATCTTGTAAGCATGTAAGTGCAACTACATGATTTTCTTCTCTTTTTTGGCTCTTTTGTGTCCTGTCCTTTCACATATTTATTTATTGCCTCCGTTCTCCCTATTTTTCTTAATTCTGTAGGCACACCAAATCGTACCATGTTGTTGTTGCCGCTTGTTTTATTTTGACTATTCAGAAAACGTCTCTGGGATTAGCACTTTAAGCCTTTATTGCAGTAAGTCTTTGCTTTCACATCCGCTACACTTCATTCTTATTGGCTGCGGAACTTAACTCTTACTATCTTGCTACATCTGTGTAGTTGTATAGATTGTTTGCAATCCAGTTAGTTGTCTTATTACCAGCTATTGGGGAAAGTACTACATTCTGTTTTAATCAACACCTCTGCAATTTTCACTGTTCCTCTAGTCTTTAACGACCGTTTGCAGACCATACTGGTGTCTGGTAAATATTGCCGCAGATTTAGAAACTTTTCCTATTTCCAGCAGCTGAAATAAAGGAAAAGGCACAGAATCCCATGAAAGTACTCAGTTTGGAGTAGGTGCCTCCATGTGTTAAGTGATGTCTTAAATGACTTTTAAAGGGGCTGGTTTTTAAAATCTGTGTACCTTCCTGGTCAAACTGATGTCTGCGTACCCTCTAGAATGATTCCTCTAGTGAGTTGTTCCGGAACTCCAGGATTTTGATACAGAAACATTAACCTTTATATTAACTGTACTGCTTGATTCTTTGATATGTGGCCTTAGCTGCAATATAATTCATCTACCTATTGAAAAGTACTACAGTGAGCTGGTAAAATCACATTTGCCTGAGTGCTCTTGCCCTGATTTTGACTCCTGGCCGCCTCTAGGCCCCTAGTGCATTGACCTAAAGTAATGTAGGAAATAAATCTAATACTGATGGATTACCAAAACGTTACATGAAAGATGCAGATTACTTGTTGCCGATAAGATCTAGAATTGAATAAAAGTATAAACTTCAACTTATAATCAGGGATGCAAAGTAATATATAGGTGGTTGCTTATGTGCTGCTTTGTCTTTTTATGCTGCTCAGGTAAAAATAGATGCTTAGCTGACCGAAAGGGCCAGTGTATTTACGTAAATAATAATAATAAACTTTAGGGCTTTTAAATATTCAAGGAAAATTAATTTGTTATATGATAGATAGATATATTCCTGAAGAAACACATCTGATCCTCTGCAGCTTTCAATTTAAAAATTCCATTTCCAGTAAAAAATAAATGTATTTACAAATTTAAAAAGAGCAAAAAGGGTAATGTAGTTACTTTTTGAGATTTTAATGTAAAAGACATTTAGGCTCCATTCTTAAATTCTTAAATCATGTTTTACTAACACGGTTAGTGACTAACGTGGTTAGTGAAAGCACAAGCCACAGTTATTCCAACAGATTAATGCTGTTGTCATCATAAATGTTATTGGGGTCTGTTGACAATACTTTAAACACAAGAACTTTTGAGCACTAATATAAGATTAACAGTAGAATTTGCTGGGTTGAATTTCTTGAATTCCTCAGGAGATTTACTTCTGTGCAAGTACATTCGAACAATATGTATTTACCTTCAGAGCAAAGACGCACATATCCAACTCATGCAATTGTAGGACAATCTGGTTATAATTAAGTAGTTTAATACAAAGGCCAGATCACAACGCTGAATCTTAATGCATTTTCTTTAACAGTCAGCAGACTTAATTATGTAGTGTTTGAAGCCATAGTAAAATTGTCAGGCGTGTTATAAAATTTCACTTTCTGATGAGACTTGCGTGGAGGCAGATACCACACTTTTCCGATATTGACTTTTTCTGTTTGTTTTCAATAAAAGCCGTTTTCTTATTTAGTGAAGCAAACAAATCAATATGCTACACAGTGGCAGGAGAGTCAGTGCAACGACCCAGACTCGCAGTCACAAGTAATTCATGGAATTGCTCAGGTGCCATTCCATAGCTTATATCTGTATGGCAGTCATCTGCTCTCCTGCTTTTCCTTCTGTTTTTATATGTTCTGCTTTCTTTAAAATGCTAAAAACGGCACAGGCACACTTTTTAGCTTCTAGGTTTTCGCTAAAAGGTTTAAATCAGTAAAACTGTTTTTCAAAGCAATAGAATGCTGCTTTCATTAACTTAGAACCCAAATCAAAAAGCACTACTGTCTTTTTAAAGATACCAGTTTATTTTTTCCAAAAGTGAAATATTAAGCCCGTTTATTTTTGTCAATTTTCTACATGCATAATCATTTGGTTCATGGAAGCACAGTAATATATTTAAGCTTGATCAGAATAAAACAGTTTTAAAAAGTGGAAGCCATTGTTCAATGATGAGTGATAAACTAGGTAAGAGCCTCACCCATGAAGATTCCTTATATCGCAAGTGTACTGTCTGTAGGTTCATGCATTGAAAAGACCTCAAATCGGAAGTCTCTCACTGAGCATCTTGTGTACTAATTTATTCTAAACATGCTGTATGTGTGCGAATGAGTATGTATGTATTCTAGATTGACAGTGGTCTTTTTTTTGACCGATATGTAAATGCTAACATTTTCTGAATGCTTTTAACATTTTAACATTTTAACTGAAAGCTTTTAAAGATGATCTAAAAATTGTTTATTCTTATTGAATTTGCTGGTGCAATATTTTGCTTGGATTATGTCTGGACAGCATTTCATATCCTGTTTATGCAAGTTTATGGAAGAACAACTGGATTTTGCGAAGAAGGGCACTTTGTTGCTCTTCTTTCTCTATATGAAAATGGAAATACAAATGCAGACTAAAAGGATGGTCTTTGTAAATGCAGAGATACAGCTGCAGAGTTGGCAAGATGGACAATTGTCTATTTGCAGAAAACATCTCCTATTCTAATTGGGATTCCTGAAATACCTTGTTGTGGTCTTCTGACATAATATTTCTTGAGATTGTTTAGTGTTTATTTCATTTTTTGTTTGGGTTTTGCATGCCACTTGGTGCTGCACTCCCAGCTTTGTGCTGACCTAATTGTTTCTGTTTCTTTTATTTTCCTGGGCTCACATGCCATCATATCTACTGTTTCCTTTGCGTTTCAACGTAATGCAAGCATTGTGCAGGTTTTAAGCCTCACGGATAAGGGATTCTGCCTAACAAAAAATATTTATGAGACCCAAAGCCTTGGGAAAATGTAGGGAGTTTGTACAAAGATGTAAGCACAACTTGTAGGTGAATATGCGTGTGTCTATTCACTGTCTGGAGAGACCTATGGCAGTATTTACAGTGGGAATGAGAAAAGCCAGTTCTACTGTAGTGAAGAAAGAGTCTTACCTGAATCTTATCACATGCCCTGGATTAGACCACCTGCCACACTGCAGTTCCTGCATTTAAACAGATTGCCATGGCTGGGAAACCCTCGATCTTCGGCGGGAACAGGAAAGCTAAGGAACACTGCTGGGCTAAGAAAGACTAGCTGTAAAAAGTTATAGTTAAAGTTATGTTATAAGCATCTAAAGAATGAAAAACAGTGTCAAAGAAACCTAATTTTTATAGGTGTTTAGAAGTTTCCATGGCAGGTCAGTGTTTGTGTGCTGTAGTACATGCAATCTGGGGAGTAAGACTGTACAAAAATTCCTGATGAGTCTGAAACACTGTATTTAAAACATTGTAAAGCAGTAACGTTTCTGAGATAACAAATCTTAAATTCTGTACTGCCCATTTCACAGAAAAGTGGATGAATGTGAGCGATTAGAGCTTGTATTTGAACCGATTCCTGCTTGCCACAGCTTGCCACAGTGTGTCGTGGATTTGAGGATGTTGTTACAGTGCCTCAGAAAAGGACAGGAGAAAAGGAGACCTCACCACAAATCTAGCCAGATGAAAAGTAGAAGCGATGAAAATTGTATGTTTGGAGTTCAACAATGGAAACAAAAAAATCCCGGAAATGCAGGCAGTGGCATGTTTATACGGATTTTGCACAAAGGTTGAGAAGAAGCTGGTATAGGCAAATTTGTCGTTTCCATATGTATGGCATGCTGCAGAGCTGGGTGTCGTGTGATGGACGTACAGGGCTTCTGGCCATGGTGACAGCCCTTCTGTCTGCTGCATTCACAGAACATGTGGGATGGTAAACATGGAACAGATGTGAGCATCGCCTGCACCAGCACAGGGGGATCAAATCATTAACAATAATAAAGAGGAAAGTCAAGTGGCGTAATCCTTAAGAAGCATTCAAGAGAGGTGTTGCTTTGCCCTGCTTTTCGGTGAAGCAAGTCGGCTATAGAGTGTGGAATGGGGCGCATCGGGGGTTAGGAGGCGAAGGCAGTCTGGCAGGGTTGTGTAGAATTGGGTGCTCCCCAGGCTAGCCAGCTTTCACAGCACATGACAGTTTAACGGGTAAGGTTGTCTCTCCGGCTCTCTTCTGCACTTTGCTTAGACCACAGATGTTTGTATTCCAAAGAAACGCAATTGCGTTACGACTGTTAAGACATCAGGTGTAGGTTAAATAACTCCGTTGTGGTGGCTTTCAGCCCTGAGGTCTGAAATTAGACTTGTGAAGGGGTTCATAAAGCCAGAGACTGTCGTGTTAACTTTTGTGTTGGTCAAACAGATATACAAACTGCAGTTTGTATAGTGAGCATAGCTTGTCTGCTTACAGTATGTGTGCCAACACCCTGTGACTCTCTTGGCGTTAGAACATTATTCATGTCCAAATACATGTTTGAAAAGGCTACTTAAGGAAGTAGATATCAAGTTAAAATTATGCAATTCAAATTGTGTTATTTTATGTTAAACGTGTACAACGCACACAATAGTTTTATTCTGTACAAGTTTGGTTACGGTGTTCAAAAGGGTGTTACTGCTCTGGGCCTGGTAGAAGGTAGAGCAAGCAATGACGTTCCCAGACTTACAGGAACATCCTACACTCACAGGTAAAAGGACTGAACCCTCCTAGATTAGAAACAGAGAAGACTATGAAGGGACCTGATGCCCCAAGACTCTGGCAAAGTCACCCCAGTGGGCACAGAACCCCAAACCAGGGGACACAAGTGGAAAGGTGTCGGGGAGGTGCATTCAGAACCAGGAATGGACATGTAGAAGTCTGGGACAGGTCCAAGAGCAGGCTGGATGAGATCCTCAGATCAATAAGGCACTCATGATCAAAGGGGGCTGAACGGGTCTCCTCTCGTTTGTAAACCTCTGAGTTTATTTACGGTTATCAGATAGCAACTTACAGGGACAAAAGCAGAGAAATAGTTTGGATTTATTACCTTCGCACAGCTGCATCCATTTAGCCCCGTACACCCGTGTGTCTACACATTGCCCTTCTTGAATTTAGAGCTGTGGCCCCCGGCCCCCCCCTCCCCGGCCAGTGGAGTCTTCCTCAGCTGGAAAGTTTTGACATCTGCTGGTGTAGGACGCAGCTGAGCAGCTGTCAGCAGCAGGGTAGCCTGCTCTCAACAGCAGTGGGCGGGATGGCGTGGTGCCAGCTTGTACCATCTGCGTGCCTGACATTTCCTTCTAATTAACAGAGGGGTTAATTGTTCTGGCAGGCTCAAATGTAGTGTCTAACATTACCCAAGGGAGCCGTGTACAAGTGGCAGAGTGGCAGGGACTGGGACGGCATCGCTAATGTGGCTATTGTCACAGAACGGTTAACAACCACTGATGGGTACACTAGCCAGGCACATGCAGTACGGCGGAGGTGTTTTTTATTCTGATGAATTATGCCAAGCTGCTGTAATGATGTAGAAAGAATCGGGCTTAGAAAGGCAAAGACCACTGCCTAGGGGCAATTGTGAGGGAACAATTTGCATGTTATTACTGCATATTCATAACTAATTGTGTTAGGCTTTGCTAATAGAGCAGAATGACAGTATGAAAAATCGAGCAGCCGTTTTATAGCCAACAAAGCCGGCTGCTTTTTTTCAAGCCTGTGAGTGCTGAATGATCATTTAGACACTTAGTTGCTAAATATAACAGGTTCTAGCATTTGTCAGCCTGACATAATATAATTTATAAAACAGTGTTCTAATTTTACCTTAGTTTATGTGATTCATTTATTACAGTACTTAGTAGACACATTAAAGAGGCTGATATTTATTACTGTGGTGAAAAGATTGTTTTAATAGCAGAAAACATAACCTTTATACTGTCTAAATAGGTATATTCTTTATACATATATATGTTTGTGTTTATGAGTACAGAGTGAGGCAGAGTTCAGGGTTTTTTATGTCATTTAAAAATTCTTGTTAATTTTTTATGGTTATTCGTGAACAATATTTTTAATGGTTTTTACATTTCATACAGTTTTTTTATACAGAAGAGTACAATTCTAATGACAAATTTTAAATGTAGATATTTTCTTTATACCTGCTTTCATAAAATAAAGTAACTGCAGCAGCAATTGAATTTTAATTATTGTGCATAGAAATCAGCCTAAACAAAACCCCTTTGTTGAGGAAATGCTGAAATTTCCAGGGCTGTTCCTGGTGGTTTCACTCTAATGTGATATACTGTGACATATGCAAGTGGTGATAAATCTTTAATTGTATACCATGTTAATCTTGCGTCCACATGGCCCAATAAGGTCAGTGATGTGATGACATTTTGGGTCTGTGTTCCACAGTGTGGTGGTGCAGACATGTCTCAAATGATGGGGTGAATTCATGCCCTCTGGGCATGTGGGACTATGAACTGCAATTTGAAGCCGTGACTAGGAATCAGGACCAGTATAGAAAAAAACCCATCCAGTTTTTAAAAATAGAAACCTTTCTTTTCTGTAAATTGTGTTTCAGTGACGTTATTTGTATCGGGGTAAAAGCTTTGGGAGACACTGGCACACAGCTAGTAATATGTCTAAGCATTCTGGATCTCAGTGGTCAGCATAATCTTCACCTTCTAGTTGTTTCCCCAGCAATGTTAAATAAGCACATTTCACTTGTTTCAGATTACATGGCATTTAAATTGCCACCGACGAAGAAGTAAATCTTTTCAAATACATTTTAAAAATCCTATTAGGAAGTGATAACTATGCATGCTACAAAAAGTTAAAAATGTTAGCTTAGGCTCATCAGGGGTCTGAACACATCCCTACGTATATTTAATCTTCTTATACTGCTTTTCTTCGTTGGATGTGTTCTGTAGGGCTCATGCGCTGTTTCCTTCACTGCTTGCAGAAAGTACAGGTTTTCAAAAACTTTGTCAATTTCCATGGCCATAATTCTCTTATTCTCCTGGGCTCTGCCTTGCTTTCTATGTCAAGGCTTGCTCTGCATTTATGTGACTTACCAATGGAGATCTGTGTTATTGTTACTAAATGGACCACTGCCTACAAATTCTGTATGAATCCCTTTCCTTTTTTTTCCTCCCAATGTAAAGCTTAGCTGGCAACCATCTTATTTCTCTTAATTAATTGCTGTATTGTGAGTAAGACCCCAATAGCTGTTGAGCATTTTCTTTCTTAAGCTTCAGGAGTTCTTCCTTTTCCTTAGCTCTTTTTAAAATCACCCACTACCCAGGTCGGGAGCCCCGGGTCTGCCTGCAGCGTGAGGGGTGAGCTTACCCTCTCTCCCTCTGGCTGCCAGAAGAGTGTCAAGGTCAATATTGCTCTGCTGTCCTTGAAAATCCTTTGAAAGACAGTAAAGCATCTTCCTAACGTGGCTTGGACTGGGCTACCTAGATTTTCTGTCCCTGTCCTGAGCCTTACTTAGGAGCCGTGCTGCTGTCGCCATTTCCTTCGCGTGTTTAAAATCTTTCTGTTGGGGTCCTACAGGTATTGTGTCTTTCAGGTCAGTAGGTGTTCATTTATTCAGCTGTTTTTATCACAAAGTACGGTTTCTGCATTAAATGAGAAAGCAAAAACTATGATACTGTTTAAAATATACTTTTAAAGGCTAAAGCCTTGTATTTCCTTTTAATCCTAATAAAACCTGTCTTAGACTGAGGGTTTGTTAGGGAGTGGGCTGTATAATAACATTTCACAAATAAGGCAAGCGCGTTGTTTGACTCCATTTCAGACAAGCTAGTCTAGAGGGGGCATTACATATTACAGTGCACATTTAGGTTCATTTAATTGCTTCCAGAAGAAAAAGAATTCCCAAGTAGTTTTAGCTTAAACTGAATGAATAGTACTTTTTCCAAGAAAAAGCTGGTGAAAACACACACCAAAAACCAAAATGTTTGCATTCTCTTCATCACCTGTCCCAAATATATATATTTTTTAATTTTAATATCCCAAATTTAGATACCATTTCAAAGATAAAACAAAAGCTTCTTTGAATATTTTTCCTTGCAAAACAAAAACAGATATTGTTAAAGCTCAGAACTAATTTTGAAAATGCTTATTAATTTACTGTAAATTAATGCTTATCAATCTACTGTATAATTTAGGCAAGGTAATCCCTGTTAGTGATAGAAGTGTGTTTTTTATGTATTTAGCTGCATTATAAGAGCTCATCCTCATTCACCCCATCTTGATATCCATAGTGCTCTTCCTCTTTACTAAGTTCTCATCTTGACCAGTTGAGGGACAGTCTTCTCTCTGCCAGATCTCTTGAGATAAACTAGCTGCAGTTATCCTCTAATCCTCTTGCAGAAGACATTATTTCAAAAGCCACTTGTTAACATGCCAACTTGGCATGTATCTGGAGGAAGACATTTCTCCTGCTGTGTGTAAAGATGAAAGTATGGTTCTCTGCTGTTTCTAACACTACCAGGGCTCATGTTTGCTTTCAGTAAGCTGGGAATGGGAAAGGTTTTTTTTTGGTTGACAGTCTGCATCAGAAATATCAGCCTCGGAGCCAGGTGTTAAAATGAATTCTACCTCCCCCTGACATAATGATCAGCTAGGAATTAAAGAAAGAAGCAGGAAACAAGACGAAAGACATGATGACCATGAAGAATGCATGAATCGTTAAATAGCAATTACTGTACTCACCAGGGGTACAAGAACTGGGAAAGAACATGTATAATCTAGAAAGGGACTTTAATTAAGAGTTTGTAATTAGCCTCCCATTTCAGCCTCAATCTAACCATCGCTAGAGAGGTGTCATTAGAACTTTTATTGCATCCTGCCTGAATTTGGGCTGCTGTAATTAGAAAACAAAAGGCGTTATTAATGCTTTTTTAAGTATTGATTTTTTTTTATTTATTACCGTCACTCCTAGCAGTTCTTTCATCAAAACCTAGATGTGCTGTAACGATGAGCATCTTCTTCTTAGGGGATTTTCTTGTGTACAGGATAAGTCATTTTTCATTTCTTAGTATAAGAATTGAGTACATGTTTTTTTTTTTTAAATCTATATTTGCATTTTGATAATGGAAAAGCAGTACAGTATTTTTTTTCATTTAAAGACATTTCATTTAAAGCTTTAAATTGCTGATGCTAAATATAGTGTCCTTCACATAGTCCTAAACAAGAAGATATGATCATGATGGCTCATGTTGAGGATCTCAAGTCCCAGTTAAAGGCCAAGGACAGGACTATCCGCAGTCTGCAAGAGGAGATTAAAAAGGGTTTGCTGATGAACGCCAAAGGTGTGGACGAGGTACTGTTTTTTCATTTTTGTTCTTGAGTGCATGGAAATCACGTAGGTTTGAACAGTAGCAGAGGTTTACGATATTGTTCTGGTGCTTTTACCATAAGCTTTACATGTGTTGAATATAAAACAATGTTCTCTGCATGTGTTGAAGCACAAACATTTATGCCCTGGAGGTTCTAAATACCGAATCAATTGAAATTTAGTTTTACAGCTTCCCACACCTCCTTATGAAGTGTCACAAAATTACAAACTGCTGTTTTATTGTCTGTGGGTTATGCTGTTACAGATTTAAGAGTGTTGAGTGGTATAAATATACATTGTCTTCAAGGTTTTTATGACAACCCATTTTACAATATAGTGGAGATGGGGGAAATTCTAATTGCAGAAAGAAAGTATTGCATTCTGAGGATATGAAATTAGGAAAATAACACAGAAACTGCAGTGACTTACAGTACCATGTTATTGAACCCTGCCATTATACCCTAGGTATGTATTAAGCACATTATATTTACGATTTTTAAATTAGTGGAGCAGACAGATCTGCAACTTTCATCATTTTTTTTTTAAATACAGTTGCCATGATTCTTGTTGTACCCAGGCAATGTGGAGTATTAGTTGTTTTTCACATCTCAGCCCGTGGTTCTGAAATGCTTAGCAGCACACGGGAGAATGAGGAAACGCAGGCAGACTCCTCCCTCCTGCCCACCTGTGGGTCGCAGGTGTTTTAGCACCTCGCAGGCAGCACAGCCCTGCACTGATCACAGGAGAGGCACGCTCCTCACAGACAGCACCCCAGTACCCTGCAGGGGGCGCTGTGTCTCTGTAAAGCAAGAAAACTCTGGCTGACCAATCCCACACCGCCGTCTGTGGCTCTCAGCTCACTGTGCACCATCGTCTGGGGGATTCTGGTAACAGTTGCCCAGTGACGTGACCCAGACTCGAACCTGCACCTCTTGGGTTATAGACCTTCGCTTTCACATCATTCAAGCACCTTGATGGGTTGAGCTACTTCGGAGCCCAATAGAAAGTTTTTCATTTTTTGGTTGTGCAGATCAGACATATTCAGTCTATTATATATGACAACGTTAGAACAGATCGACAAATATTTAGGACTACAATTGAGAACCAAGCATAAATTAATTGTGTGTGTGTATATATATATATAGAGTGAAGACTGTGGTTTGTGAAAGAAGTGTTTTGATGAGTCAAGTGTCAGTTATTAGACACCTGATTGTTGTCTTCCAGGCCTCAGAGAGAGATGGTGCCTTCTCAGTACTGCAAAACAAGTTACAGACTCTTCACCAGCTTCAGTTAGAAAATGTTGCTCAGATTGCAGAGAAAGATATCTTGATCACCAGACTCCAGACAGAGCTTCAGCTGGCTCAGCAGGGTGCAACTGATACGCAGAATGAGGTAACCATTCTGATTTCTAGGGGGAAAGGTTCAATTGTCTTTTAATTATTTTCCTTATTTTTATTTCTAGTGATCAGATTAGTTTTAATCTGTGCAGGGAAAAAAATACACATTGCATACCAAGGTTTTTTTAGGACCGTCGATTTGAAGAATTACTCAGGGACTGAACCAGACAAGTTTTGCTTTGTTTGAAACTGGAATGCTGTTTGTGCACTAGCTGTCCAGCCAGAGGAAGAAGGTAAAGGAGTTGCAGGAGGTGACTGGACAGCTGAAGGAGGAAATGGTGGCCAAGGATGCGCAGACTAGTTCTTTAGTCAAGTCGAGCAGGAATCTTGAGGACAAAACAGTGATGCTGACCGAAGAGGTAAGTGGGAATGAATTCATGTCACCCTGTCTCCTTCTGGCTGCCTTCCTGTGGTGTTTTCCTGATGTAACACAGCGTACTTTGGAGTGCATTCAAAGTGCCATGTGAGCTCACTCCTCAGCATAGTGTTCAGAAATGAGTGGTCATGCCATACTTAATAGATTGTGCCCATCTATAGAAATCTAAATTATTTATAAATGAGTTTTAACATGTGCTCTTTTCTGATACGAGATATCCACAAAATATTACTACAAGTTGTATTTATCTAGTTTTTGATTGAATCCTTCCTGGTGCAGCCACCACGTTACAGGTAGTCCTGTTGTTTCTCCTAACCTGGGGTGTCTCACCAGGGGAGCTGAAATTGAAGGAGAAGAAAGACCAATTCTAAAATAATGATTTATGTTCATAAAGAATATACTGGTATGTTAGAAAAGTGCTGTTTGCCCTAACATCGCAATTCCACTCAGAACTGTAGACTTGTATTCCTGTACGGAATCCACTGAAATCTAGTTGGAGGGGCCGTTTTAAAGCCTCCGTCATGCCCTGTGTATCTTCAAGCAGTAGTGAAGGTAAATATTTTATATGAGCCCAAGCCTCTGTCCCTGGTATCCCATTGAATGTTGTAGAACCAAAGTACTCTTTCCTTCGGGATTTTCCGCCTTCTATCCATTAAAGAGTTCTTGGGACAAGTTGCTGTGTGCGGGGACGGGGAGACAGAAGTGGAGGTTTGTCAGCAGTGTGTACTGGCTGTTGCCTCGGGATTTACGGAGCACAGGAGGACGTGTCCTCTCGGAGCCGCGTGTCCGCCTCCGGAGACCCTACCCGCTGCGACAGTTCGGAAGACTTGGGCAACAGCTGTCAGCAGCAACTTTGCATGTCAAAATAAAATATTAACATTTCACAGCATTCCTCACTGTGCTTTATCTATATTTATAAGCCGTTGAAGTTACGGCAGCCTGTTTTAATACAGCTGCTGCTAATGAGGATAAGGCTTTTATCTGAGGCTCTTGCCCAAGGACTGTTACAGAGACTAGAGTAGGAGAGCCTGCTGCTTCAGAGCCACTTGTAACCTCACCTTGGTTTTAGCTGTTGGCTAACTTGTACGTCCTCCGGCCCCTTAGCCTCGTATCCCAGCAGCCTTCGGAAGAACGGCAGGAGGAAAGACGTGATTTTCTGAATTTTTTTAAATGGTACCAAACGTATTGAAGAGTAATCGGTCTGGACCGAGCCCATATAGCCAAGGATGAAGCTGGGTTGAGCCTAGTGATTTTATAAGATTATGACCTGCAGAGACTATAATGTTATGCAGGTGAGAAAACAGTATACTCTTGCAAAGTAATCACATATTAGCTACTTTAATAGGACATATAAAAAAACCTCATTGTGGTATTGCCTGGTGCTCGCACCTATCTTTATAATCGCAGGACTGACGCAGAGAGAGAAGCACTATTTCCAAAATGGAAAGTGTCATTTGTTTTTTTTTTTATTTCAGCCGTATTTTGACTTTGCTGAGGTCAAGTTCTGTAAATCGAAATTCAGTCAATGATGATCTGCTTAAATCTGTCACACATGCTGAATAGCTTGTCTTACCTGGGTCTGCACCGCTTCTGTGTTTTGCTGAAGTGTTCAGATTGAAAATTAAAAGTTAATACTGTCACCATTATATTAAAAGTATTGATTTTGAAATACTTTGCACGGCATTTTCTGCATAAGAAAATGAAATTCTTGTCTTCTTCCCGGTATTTAATTTCTTTATATCTTTGTAATTGATTAATGTTCCTTTGTAAAGTGGAGATGAATAATTTATTGTCCTTGTAGCCTCTGGCTTAAAAATGTTTAATTTTAGAAAATGTAACTGTGTATTATGAAAATCCGCGCTGTCGTTCCTGATGATACATTAAATTTGACCACTCCTCTGACTCATGGAGAGGAGAGAAGTGAAATCCCGCTGTTGCCTGTATTGCCAGCATGTTGCTGGCAGAATGCCCTGCAACATGGCACAACGTTAATGAAAGATTAAAGACATCTTGTTTGAAAAGCATTTGGTTGTTAGCATATGTTTTGGCGCATCTGGTAAATGCGTGCTAATCCTCAGTGTGGCTCAGTGATTTTTGTTGAAAACGAGCCAACTAGAAAATAGAGCAAATTGAATAAACAGCACTTATTCTTAACAGGGAGCGTAATTAAATATGCAAATAATACAAATGATATCATTAACCTTAGTGGAGCGTTGGGGGCTCTTGAAAGCTTTTGTATTCGAGTTAAATCTGGCGATGTGCTGCGATCAAAAGAAAAAAATCCCCTCTAGTTGTTGACATTTTGCCAAGGCCGTGCAGTGACAGTGCCATCAATGATCCTTCAGCTTGAATGTGCACTTCTACACTGGGGCTTCATCCTGAGCAGCATCTGTCTAAAACAGCCAATATCGCTCTCCTGGCTTTGTCTCAGCAGTGGCGCAGTAACAAGCTCGCAGCGTGTATTCGAAGATAACAGAAAATATAAGCAAGAATTAGACATTTATGTATTTAAGGAAAAGTCAATTTACAGCTTTTTTTTGTCCCCGAGGGCAAGCTTGTTCGCCAATGACGTATTTCGGTAACCCTGTATGGTAAATACTCGTGTTAATTGATCCTCTATGAACGCTTAATACAGAACCAGAAAATAGCTTTATAACTGTTATTTGCCTGCTTACAGACATGTATAAACCTCATTGTTGCTTGAAACATTTCTACTGCATTGCGGTCGCAGACAAAGACTTCACAGTGATCAGAGAACAGAGCTGAAGGTGTGCTGTCCAGTCAAACCCTCCTCAGAGCAGTACACGCAGCGTTCACGGAGGACCAGAGGTGTACCGTATATTACGAAGGCCATGTGGCTAAGGGAATGCCACGACTGGGTGACGTCTTGAACACCGAGGGTAATAATTCCTTACAGTGTCTGCGTTTGCAGAAGCAGTTTCTCAGAACTGATCCTGAATTGTCCCGCCCATCCCTGGTCAGGCTAGGGGTACTGGGGTACTGCCCGTCCTGGACTCGCGGGGCGCAAGACGTGTCTTCCCTCAGGACAGGACACACGCCCAGAGACTGCTGGGAGACTCCTAATAACTTTGTAATGAATAAGAGTCCAGGTCGTTGGAAGAGGGGGGTGGGGAACTGGAGGAGAGCAGGTGAACACACCGGTTTGGATCGAACCCTGGACCCGAGAGCGGGGTAGTCAGCCGCAGCACCACACCTCTGCCAGCCAGCAGAACAATCCTTAAATCCAATGACTTGTTTTTTTGTAGCTGATGTAGCACTGCCTGGCTTGTAACCACACGTTTGTGTGCGAGGTGTTTGGATTTTAACTCTCCAGACATGACTTCACATCGGACAGGAGTGCTGGCGCTGAGCTGACCTGCTGTGGTGTGGCCGAAATTAGGCACTATCCATTTCTATCTCTGATCCTTCTCTGCAGCCTCCTGCCTTGGTTAATCCTTGCAAACCGGAGTATTAATCCTTCTGGGGAGATCTGCTGTCACAGTAATTCTGTAATTTGTCCATTAGAATAAACCTTATCCAGTAAGGGTCATTCCCACTTACAGTATGTGCAGTTTTAGTTGAAATTTACAGATGTAACTGTTTCTTAATTTATGTGGCAAATTGTCTCTGTAAAAGCGTCCTTTTATTAAAGGGAAAATGTTTGTTACTGGGACTTCTTCATTGGTGCACGTTCACACAGATAGGAGAAGCTTTATAGCTTTGTACTCTTTTCCCCCTGTGCCAGCTTGGAAGCCACCAAAACTGCCTGCTTTTCTAGTTCCTTCAAAGTCAAGATTGTTCAGCATAATAGTCTTGTTTCTGAACCCATGGGAACCATCCGGTTGTACCGTGGTCAAGGGTCAAGTGACACGGGTTTCCACAGATGTTTGTTAAGGATTCTGCCACATAATCTACTTGTTTTGTTTTATAGTTCATGTTAATTGGCAGTATTATATTTTGCGCAGTGAATAAAAAATTTGCCCAGGTAAAAGCATTCACCTCAAGCCTGGTTTCTTCTTCTTATTCCATTTTGAGGATTCCCTACTAAATTGTCTAATTAAACGGGTAGTTCCTTTTCAACATTAAGCAGATTCCCTCTTCCATTAACAGAAGCCTTTGAAATTCATAAAGGTGAATTTTAACTTGCAGGTGAGATAGCACTTGTGTGATACCACGGAAGGAACAGACTAAGTGGAAGATGAGATCTCTTTCCTGAAACAATGGATGGTATTCTCATATATTAGAAAAGAAACTGTGCTAGACGGATGGACCTTCCCTGTTTTCTTACAGCAAACCTAGAAACCCAAACAGTCGTAATAATAAATAAAAAAAATAGCAAAATATTATAGGATTAGGAGGACGTTGTTGAGAGAAGAACATATTTTAAAGCTGCTCACTGTTCTCTACTGTGCTTATTAGACCCTGAGATTCACACCCAAAGCGCAGTGTAAGAACTATCTGCCAGTCACCATAAGGCCTATACGTATAACTATTCCCATACAGTCATGCTGAAACATTACCTTTATGCCCTCAAAGAAATGTGCAGTGTATACGTGCAGTTGTTTAATTTTTTTAAAGAAAAACATATAATTACATTTCAGATGTAATGGTTGGACTTTCCTGTTGCATTGAATGAAAGCTGTGAATCAGACAAAACTGAAAAAATAATAGTGGTGAATATGATCATAATTTTCTTTATGGAATGCTTGAAAGAAAACAGTGCATTTCACCCTTTGACATATTTAAGTAAGCCATACACTGTAAATAATTGTGTAAAAAAGCATAATGGCATTTAAGGTGCTTTTCAATTGTCTTAATAGCTAAGCTTTCTTCCACTGCACATTTGATAACATTTTCTAAAATTGAGCACAGTTGCTTTAGAGACTTCATGTAGCGCTTTTCTAATGCGTGAAAATCACAATTATTGCGTGCAGTTGGTTTAATTATTTGAATGTATTTACATAGCTCTTTTTTAAGACATAA